AGCCTTATGATCAACATCATTATCTAATATAATGCAAGCCCCTCTCCTTCATTAGCGCAAGTGTCCTCAACGGCACAACTTCCCAAGTGATTCTATAAGGTTTGCCCTCTGTTGGACCAGGTAAAGAAACACGCTACGTTAGAGATCGATTTCAAGGATTAATTGTAAAAGAATCCACTGGCAGAGTTAAGTTATGACTCTCAAGAATTACCTTTTATTGCAAGATTAATCTCATCATATCTGCATGTTTCAGCTAATGACAGTTCCCTTTTCTGCAAAATCATCAAACATATTAAGGAGGAATTGAAGAATCAAACATAACTTTAGAGTGTTCAAAAATAATATTATATATGCCAACGATAGAGGTCAACGTTATGAGAATCAAGTGTACCTAAAGTTATAGAGGTCGGGAAAAGAGAGTGCAAAATCACATCTACAATAAAATCGAAGAAATAACTTTACCTTCTCTTGAGTTTTTGAATCGTTTCCCAAGTCGGAGCCTACTTCAATTTCGCTTTTATTCTTCTCCATAGTCGACAGAAACCCTAAAATTGAAAGACACACAAATTGTCTTCTTCCGAAACCTAAACCTGGGAGTTAAAACGAAACCCCCGAGGCCGACAACAACAAAAGGAAAAAGAAAAAAAAATATGGAAGCCTTCTAAAGTAAATAATTTGGAAACATATGATTTTTTTTTTTTTTTTTGGTATTTCATAACTTAATTAAAAAACCATAAAGAATGTGAATGTTGTTGTTTCTAGTTCTTTTTTTCTCTACCTATAAGCCTTTATTATATAGTAAGGTAATTGTCATCCTTCATAAATTTTTTTGATCGAGTTGTTAAAAAATGAGAATAATTAACATATCCTAGAGTGAACTTATGGGTACCTGTGGCACTTTTGATATGACTTACATGGGCAGAACTACGTGGAAAGGGGGCCTATATATAGCTTTTGTAAGTTCTCAAAATTTCTTTATATTTTGAGCGTGTTAGAGTAGAGCTGTCAAAATAGGCTGTCCCCGTCCATTAGCCCGGTCCAATATTGACCATTTTAGTTATGGACAAATAACATCCATGTCCATTATAGCTCATGTCCATTATAGCCCATGCCCATTATTGCCCATATTTTAATAGACTGTCCATTGGTGTCCATTGGTCACCACAAGAACAAATTATGAAAAACGCCAAAATCTGCAAAAATCTCAAATACAATCCAAAAGTTTAAGACAAATATCCAAATAAACAACAAAGTATCACATCCAAAAGCAAATCAAAGCAACAAAGTATCAAATCCAAAAGCAAATCATAGCAATAAAGTCTTCTTCTTCTACTTCCTTCACAAATGAATCGTAAATGCTCAAATCGTAAACCTTGTTCTGAAATCTGACCTGAATCGAAAGAAGTGGCTGAGATTGATGCGATGAAGCCATGGAGACAAGCGTCAAGCTCTGTTGCGAAGAAATCGCCGGAGAAGCTCTGATTTTTTATTTTAGAAAGTTTTGACGATTTTTCATTTTTTCCCCAAATCATTTGACCTAACATTTTTTGTCTATTGGGCCGCTCAATTCCATTAGAGTCCAGTCCAATAAAGCCTATATCCATTATAGTCCAGTCTATTAGTGGCCATGTCAAAACGAGCTTGTCCATGACCGGTCCATTAGGTGTTGGACACGGACAGCCCATGGACGGTCCGCCCATTTTGACAGCTCTATGTTAGAGCATGTGCAGTGGGGTTCTTTCAAAGTCTCTCAAAATATATTATTATAATATACATAAATTAGTCAAATTGAATAATTAAATTTAAGTAATAATTTTTTTTAAAAATCATTTACATGTTGCCATGTGTGACATGAGTCTCTCAAGAGGTTCTCAAAAGTTCTCATATGAGAACTCATGTTCATGTCTCTCTCTTACTTTTTATTATTTTCATTTTTTATATTCTTGAGAACACATGTAAGAACCTCCCACTAAACATGCTCTTACATCGCCTTCAGCAAATGGAAATTATTTATCTAGATTCTCTTTATTTTTATGTTTTATTAACACATTCATTTTTATTCATAACTTTGATCGTAAATTGCTTGATCATGAGATGACAATCTCGTAATACATAGAGGAGAGTAAATATACATAATTAAAGATTAGAAAAATTCAATCTCGTGAACCTCATAAACCTGAAATTGCTAATTATAAATATTTTGTTGTGCATGGCGCTAAAAGGATGACGTACAGATGATGATGCAGAGGAGATTCCTCTAAGAGAGTTCCAACTTTAAACTTTAATAAAACAAAGCATGTGGTACATTGAGGTGCAAAATCCACCAGAATAACGATGAATCTTTCTTGTTCAAACGAGCCAATGACTGCAACAAAAACCGAAAGATGAGATATCAAACATCGAGAGATGAAATGTGGTAAGAACATAGCTTGATGTTGAAGAATTGTGCAGACATTTAGATTCAACTGCCGACAAACAATTCATACATGTGAGATTTTGGAAAATGTGAACCAAGTAAAGAGACAAATAATTCTCTCGTTACTTGTTTCACATTTTCGATCGTGAGATATTCCGATAAAAGCACACAATTTGCTATCCTTTCTCCGAATCTCAGATCTCAGAGCTTAATTCCTAAACTCTCTCTGTTTTACACTTTACTGTTACAGAGTCCCGATGATGATTGATTGGTATGATGATCGGTTTCTTTGGGCTTTCTTAGGCCCAAATCGAGAGAAAAATAATTGAACATTTTCTAAAAAAATGTACCTAACTTAGTTCTTTGTAGATTTAGTTGGACAAACTAAGAAAATTCAAAGAAAGTTAAAAAGGACTTTTGGAAAATGTGCGTGAGACATTTCTACCGACACCGGAGAAGAAGTGACTGTATATTCTACTGAAAGGGAAAGCAATTGGGTCTGCGATGGAGCCCACGAATGTTCACTATGCACCATGGAATTGGTTCATATGGCCCATTATGAGATTTATGGGCCCAAATCAGATGGCGCGTGTATCTCACGGTTCTTCTTCACCCAGGTAGAACTACTAATGCGGTGTCAAATCTGTCGTTCTCAAAAGAAAATAGAAATCTCCATTTTTCACGTGATTAATTTTCTTGTTTATTACTAATTTACTATTATTTATTTTTCTGTAAAGTCTTACAATAATAATTATTGGAAATTAAGCACATGGAAGTTACCTAACGTCCTTTTTAATTTCAGAAACTGCAATTTTATTCAGATACAATTATTTTTAAATTTGAGGGATATGTTGAAATTATTAAGTGCCTCACGATGCACGATGCACGATGCACGATGCACTGATGCAGTATGAAAAGTAACAAGAATAGAAAATTTTGATTTTTTTTAGAATCAATTACCGGGTTGGGCTTTTCTTCAGCCAAAATTATCAATTACGGTACATCTGCCGGACATTGTGTTTTAGGCATTTTGTCAGCAAGAGAAATGTCGTTTTTATCCTTACAAACATCTGCATCAAAATTGATTTTCTCTCTCTCGCTTGCATGAAGCCAACTCTTTTTGCGATTTTCAGATCTCTCCACTGTGATTGCTCAGATTTCTCTTCATTGTTTGTGACGATGAGGAAACGACACTGCGAACGAGTTGGTGGTGACGATGATGAGATTCGTTGGCGATGAGGAGTCGACACTGCAAATGAGATGGTGGTGAAGAAAATGAGATCCGGTGACAACGACGGTGACAACGACGGTTTGAGCGTAGGAGAACGACAAAATTCAGACCAAAAGATTAAAGCTTTAAAACCAATCTCTCTCTCTCTCCGTGGGTTTTGCTTTGTCAAGGGAGATTAAAAACTCAAACTTTTTATGAATCTGTAAAAGTAATTTTCAAATTTAGTTTTGATTCCATCAATCTCTATTATTGGAGCACTTGGGTTTACTAAACACTATCCCCATAGGGTTTAGTTTCCTTTATTCAAGACTTGATTAATTGAATTCATTGGGTTAATCGGAAGATATCGTATTAGTGACGAAGACATATCGTGAGTCGGAGAATCTAAAAGAGACGACATTGATGGATTTGAAGGAGAAAGAGACGAAGACAGAGCGAACACGTCGGTGAAAAGCAATGGTTGTGGTCGGAAAAGAGAGACGGTGAGAAGCAATGGTTGTTCTTCAGACCTCAAAGATGGTATTGGTGGTGAAGAGAAACAAGGAAGGAGACAAAGAGAAAATAGTCATTACCCCAAACCCATAAATACCTATAAACGTAAGTATGAATAATGGTTCCTTTTTTTAAGTGTTTCTCTTTAGTTATGAAAAAAATGAGATCTTTGTAGATAGAGAGTACTCCATCTCTGATAATTCCACGGTTTGGTTTCAGTATCTTGTAAAATAAATTAGCAAATGATTTACTTTTGACTAGGAAAAAAAAGTTTTATATGAAATTTATCTTTTCATATATATATACAAGATTACTATCTTAATTCAGTATACTTCTAACTTCTATTCTTTTTTTTCTTTTTCATTGTAACAATTAATGAGTTTTTTTCACGTATATTAAAGGGAAATTGTTAAAAATGCTCTTTTTGGTGTGCCCTTTTTTCAAAAATTTCATTTTTAGATGTCTATTTTCAAAAATGACTCTTTTTAAATCTAAAATTTTTATAAAGTTTTATTAGGTTTATAAGGTACTTATGGATTGTAACTACTACTTGAAGACTCGATCCAAATATTTATAAGGTTTTATAAGGTGTTTTTAAAGGTTTTACAAGTTATTTTAAAGGATTTTTAAGGTTTTTCAAAGGTTTTACAAGATATTTTAAAGGTTTTTAAAGGTATTTAAAATGCATTTATAAGGTATTTATAAAGTATTTATAAGATTTTAGATACATAGAAATGTAGTTTGTGTATGTTTTAATAATGTTACATACATATTTGGGTAAATTTTATATTTTTAAGAGCATTTTTTATAAGATTTTAAAGAAGGTACATTTTTGAAAAATGGCATTGAAAAAGGGGCATTTTTGCAAAAGCACTTATATTAAAACACACACACAAAAAAAAGAGAAAAAAAAAAAAATAGATTAAAATACCAAAAAGAGGACTAGGGAAGTGTACGATGCACCTCGTAGCAGGGAATAACATGTTCTACAAAACACCGTAGCTGCTTCTAGCGTTTTCTCCGTAATCCGTTTGATTTAAATTTCCCCCGTTACGGTCCCGACTTTCCCAGAACTTTCACGGTTTC